GATCTTCAGTCTGGTATTGGCCAGTGAATCTACCATCTCTTTGACTGCGTCTTAGTTGAAGTGATGGCATTGAATCATTTTCTAAATTGATTTCTGGATTTAACGATGGTAGGTCTGAGCTAGCGTCACGTTGGGTATTAGGGTCTTCGTTATCTTCAAACCATTTGTTAACTGATGTTGATCGAAAGTTTTTCTTTTCCCCATTTATTAGCACCGTTATTGTCTCACCTTCCTTGTTGTGCAATTCAAACGGTCCTGTCCATTTTCCTCGTGTATTCTTCGTTGCCTCGCGCCACACTCGAACTTTACCTCCCACAGGAATATCTTCAAGGTGAGTATGCCGTGGTCCGTTCCGCATATTTTTAGCTAGATTGATAAGCTGTGTGGCGCGATGTTTTTGGAGTTCGTCCATTGCCTTTTGCATAGCGTCCGCTCGTTGTTTTGATACTGGCGCGGGAGCATCGTTCCAAGTAATACGGGGATAAGCACCAAACGCGCAAAGAGTTGGTACAAGGCCATCTGGACCAGCTGAGTCGTTAAGTGCTTTTACAGCCATTTTAAGGATTGAATGACGGTCGACATTTTGCCCGGAAAATTGTTGTTTGAAAATGGTATAAGCCCGGCGAAGATTTTTGTGGGCCTGCTCAACTTTTCCAATAGAATTGTGCGCTTCTATGGGAACTTCAACAACGCGGGTCTTCCATCCCGAGGCGGTTGCACGGAATTCTGCGGATGCGAAGTTCTTGCCGGCATCGTGGATTAAATTTTCGGGTGGACCAATGTAGACATTATTCCAACAGCGTTCAATTGAATTACAAGTAGAGATAGCCCCTTCTTTGTCAGGCCCAGTAAGGAAATCTGCTGATCCTAAGTTAGTTCCAGCGTCTATTAGATGTACAGCCGGTCCGTCTTCTAGATGCATTACGTCGACGTAGACTGTATGATTGAATGGAACATCTTTATTAGTGAGGGTAAATTTGAATCGTAGAGGCCGATGAGCGTTTAGCTGACAGTCATTGCAAAATTTGGATATCCGGTCAATGATTTTTATGTCAATGTCATGACCAGCTCGCCGAAAAATTTTCCACATTCTAGAAGCTGATGGATGTCCCCATCGACGGTGACATGTCCTAATTTGTTGTTCTGTTAAGTAACAAATAGGTTCATTATTAGATTCGTAAATAAATAAAGACTGGAAGTGGCCGAGTGTCATCCATAGATGGCCGTATTTTCGAATGAGAGCTGCTACTGGCTTTTGGTTTTTGATCATGACGTTTTTCTGCACATCAGGTGTGACACCTAATCGTGTCATGTCTTGTAAGCCGAGCAAAAACGGGGTATTGCAGGGTAAAATGTGAAACGTAACTCTGCCGACGGGCGTATCCAAAGTAATAGAACCAATAGAAATAAAAACGCCGTCACCAATTCCCGATATTTTTACCTCTCCAGCCCTTGTTCTATCGACCTTTAACTCCTTTTGTAAATGCTTAAGTGCTTTGGCTTGTCCAACTCCAACTGTGGAACGACCCGCTGCACCTGTATCAACCAAAACGCCATGGAAAACTCTTTCATCGTATCTTTCATTATAGTCATTACCAATAGAAAATACATTTCTGAATAAATGAAAAACTGCAGGGGTATCTGTCTCCAAATCGAAGCTTTTATTGACACCAGGAAAATCGAAGTCTAGTGATGCAACTGTTATTAACATTTTTTCTTCTTGTTTTGATGCTGCATATTTCGTTTTTGGTGCTGTAAATTTGTGGAAAGTTGTTAGGTCTTGAAGGTAGCCCGCGACATTTTTCCCTCCAATTTCTGAAATAAGAAAATTTTGACTTTCTTCTTGGTAACAGTATCCATCCTCAGATTCTGGCTCGTCAGTGAGCTCGTTTACAGATAAAAAATGGTGTAACTCAGCGTCTAGAGATTCTCCTTCGAATTGCAGGACAAATTGTTGTACGGCGTTTTCGTCTTTTGAGGGGTACGTCTTTTTAATTTTTTCAAACGCTGCTCTCTGCTCTTCCGGTGTGTGTTCAGAAGACCAACAATTTGTCTTTTTACACATAATGCAGCGTTTATTCCAGGTTGACTTTACAATACTAGGTCCTGATCCTATTTTTCTTCTTCCACGAAAATTTTGGCTTCCTCTACCTGTACTACTTCCTCTCACTGGTTGGTACTGCCGCTCAGCTAAATAAGAGTTATCAAAGCTATTATGTTCAACGTGACTGAGCTGATGATATTGAGAAATTGATGTGCCGGATAGTGATAATTGCATAAATCTCGCTCGTATATCTGCACAAACACCTTCTGCTGTTTTTGCCGGAGAGAATAAAACAAAGTGTAGGTCTGCAACTCCAGAGCAAGCATTGATAATTCTGGTTCGCAATGCAGCATCACCAGCGTGGGATTCGAGTCCCCTTTGAACACGACGAAGTTCTTTTTCGAGATTGTTGAAAGCTTGAAGTTTATCTGGACTTTTCCGCATTTCTTCAATTAAATTGAGAGTGTTCCAAATTGTTTCACGTCTGTTTACCCAGTGGACTGTTTCATAGTGTGATTTGATAATGTTACATCGCTCGTCGAAAGATAAATTTTCATTGTGCAATGTGAGATCCAGATATTTTTCACTGGCATCGCCGGTAAACATTATGGTTAAAGCGTCCTTCAGGTACTTCTTCTCGACACAGGCGTTATTACAGTTGTTGAGAAAAATCTTTCGCTTGTAATCAAAGCTATCAGTCCCATCACTGTACTTGTCTTCTTCTTTATACATCCTCACGAGGGATTCTAGTTGTCTACTCTTGTGCAGTGGGCGATCTTCCCAATGTGTCTCATTTCTATGGGTAGTTGATGGTAGAATTACTGGAGTTGATGATGGTGATGATGTAGGGTTGTGTGGTTTTCCGCTGCTTTTGCTGTAAATTGCAGCATAGTTGCTGTCGTCAGTGGTTTGTCCACTCCTTTCTTTTCCCTTTCCTTTTTCTGCTTCAGTTTGATCTTTTATCCGCTCCTTGTTATCAACTCTAAAATCTTGGTACTTTTTATACTCTGCGGTGGCCCCAAGTATGCTTTCTTCTTCAACGTAGTTTGGATCTTTGGGATCGCATCGTGTGCTTACGCCAAAAGGGTTTTTCTTCCTGTAGTAAATAAGTTCTTCAGGAGTCCATTCATGAAACTCCTCCCTCTTCACTTCTGTGGCTAGTTGTTGATCGATATGTTTCCCTTTTGGATTTGGTGTCATGTATACTCCACGAGAAATTAGGAAGTCTCGGAATTCCCTCCTAAGATCTGAATTGATCTTGCTGAACTGGTCTACGTCCCAGTTTTCGAAATCCTCTAACCATCTTTCCCAAAGCGAGTCATCTTTTGCACCTTTGGCTTTATATAACTCCAGTCTGTTTTTGACATATGCTGTGATCTCTTCCGTAGTCCCCAGTGATTTTTGTTCTGCTGATGAGTTAGACATTTTTTTTTTTTTTTTTTTTTTTTTTTTTTTTTTTTCAATAGTTAATTGCGTGATTGACGCGAAGCAAGAAGAGCGAATACTTAGTGCTTAATTGACGGGGTGCGTTGATGGACGCAGAAGCAAGAAGAGCGAATATTTAGTGCTTAATTGACGGGGTGCGTTGGTGGACGCAGAAGCAAGAAGAGCGAATACTTAGTGCTTAATTGACGGGGTGCGTTGGTGGACGCAGAAGCAAGAAGAGCGAATACTTAATGCTCCTTGGGCTTGACACGTCGGAGCTCAGTTCAGACAAGGTCGACGACTCCAAGGGACGTTCCTTCGATTGGTAACCGCGTACAGATCTGTGACCGATGTTACGGATCACTGATCAGTGTCGGTATATCACCGGTAGATTATTGTGCTAGCACGAGAGGTTTGAAACAGGTACGAAAAAGTGTGTATTTTGTGTTCTCTCTCAATTACCTTCCTGCCAAATAGCAGTTCCCCAGCACTTCGCTAATTAAATCACATGACTTAAGTCTCTATCTACGTAATCAAAGCCAATATTCATACAGTAAGCTTGATGATTATTAGGTGGGAACAGATGTCGTTGAGAGGGAAAGATTGACATGATAGAGTATCGGGAACCATCATCTAGTGGGCCAACTTCCCTGGTATTTCGAAATTGACTGACCTTCGCTCTGGGAGAATATTTCATCCCCATCTTCGTACTAGACACGGCGTAGAGGTGTTGACTCTTGGCCTTTGAGGCTAGGATATATTCCAATATTGTTCAGTAGAAGATGTTTCCTGATCACCAGAGGGTTACAATGTTTTTATACATCAACAGGTGAAATCCTCATTTTCCACATACGCCAGTTGTAGAGGATCTGGCATACAAACCTTTCTTCGCATCATCACTTTGGGGTTGAGCTTTACTGTGCATTCTGCAAAGTGAGCCTCATTCCCGTTTGATTCGCAAGAGGCCCAGGTGTCAATCCAATAAGCCACACCAAATCGAAAAGCATCACGACCTTAACCATGACCCCATGAGTAGATGGAACAGCATGTTGTGCTGGTGATGGCTAGGATTACGATGCACAAGGGTAATGATCACTGAGGGTGAAGGAAGAACTTTCCAGGTGGCTCCATGATGAGTAGAGGAACAATGGAGCACTGTATAGAAGGTGTCTCTAGATTGTACTGCCAGATGGAGGAGACTAGAATATTCCGTGGTACTGTTTTGGGTAATTAAGGCGAGAGTCTAGCTACCTCAGATGTGTATATAATTAGCGCCTTAAATCTCCTAAATCCTAATAGTTCTGAATATCAAATATATCAGCAGTTCACATTGATTCATTGATAATCATCCGTAAACCTTCTGCCAATTAACCTCCGTAAGCTCTTACCTTTACAACACAGCAGCTTGCAATCTAACAAAATTAAGTTACGAGCCGTGGACCAGGACCTAATTCAAAAAGAAGAGAACACATCACATGGGTGGTCAGTCTTTGTCTTTCTAAGCTTTACTTTTGTCGACATAATTTCGGCAATGGACGGCACGAAATTAGTACAAGCATCCCCAAGCCGTGAGGCTCTCAAAGTTTTTACTGGGTATCTCACATCTATGTTTACGACTTTGACAAACTGCCGAGCTCAAGGTGTCTGTCAACAAGGTCACAGAGAGGGACAATCTTATTGTTACTTAGACTAGTGTAAGTACTGTCGATAGTTTAGTCAGGGGGAGCGCTTTTGACCGGCCATATTCCAATAGTAAATTCTCATTCAAACCACGCCGCAAGAGGATCGTGTGCAGAATCCCATCCAAACTTTCTGTCCTGGTATAAATTAATACGGCGCCCTGCCGCGATCGAGTACAATTTTCATAGTACATTCTTCCCAACCCGTCGTAGTCTGTTCAAAGAGTATATCATATGGGTATGCATTAAGATGTTGGACTAAGTATCTGATGAATCCTGGTGGTCGAAAATTATGGTTAGCAAAAGCTAATTCGAAGGAATGAGGTGACCAACTTCCATCATTTGCTTGACTAACAAATCATTTTACCCCGAACCATTCCCCAGCGGGTGGAGCAGGGTCTCCTTCTCTACATTCATAAAAGCTGGCAGCTCCTCCGTTACTTCTAACTAGATTCTCGCTGACTATTTCACCGCTATTACATTTAAACTCAAATAATCCATGGGCAGTGGGCACTAGGAGTAAAAGACCAGTCAGCGCCGCAGTCAAAGGCGCATTAAAAAACTTCATTTGGAGGATGTCCTTCTCACGGAATTGGACTGAGTACTAGAATAGTGAGGCGTATAGTAATAAGATCAAGGACCAGCGCAGGAAAAAAGTAGAATGCTAGGAATGAATGGGATTTTGGTTATTACCCTTCAACGCAAATACTTCTGTCGACCAAAATAATGAGAGTAATGGTTGACAGACTGAATGACTCTCACTGCAGGAAGTAATACTCTTAAATACTTGTACGTGAGGCAGGATCCCATTTCAACAGACCAATATATGGATTTTAATTGACGCTGCAGCATCCGGCTCCCATTCCAGGATGAGTCCAAGGGAATGAAGCCGCCAAGCTCGTCCCAAAAGTCTCTCATGCCAATGGCCATCTGACTCACGCGACCCCAGTTTCATCATCGGAGCCTGTGCCATTTTTATTCAGTTGTGAAATATACAAGAGTCAACTGTGATATCTTCCACCTTTCAGCTAACGACAAGTCATGTCAGCATTATCTGTTGTGTCATCCAACGCCTGGAATTTTCCAGCGTGGCCGAGCTGGTAGCTCCGCCATCTGTGAATTCCACCACAAACGCGCTAGTTTGCAGGGTTTTGTTAAATCCGAAACTTGGTGGATTGATACGCTCAGGCAAGCAACACTTGGTCGTGCGAGGAGAGGCTGCATCTGCTCTGTTTGCTCACTACTTCTGTCGTTTACAATCATCAATATTCTCGATTACTCTAGGGGAGCTGAATGCGACAGAGCCATTTTCGAATTATGCCGACGGGAGAGGGCGTGTGCTATGGGTATATTGGAATATTATCGTGTAATTGATGATACTAGAATGATATGAATAATGTTCCTGATAATGTTCCATTGATTGCTTGCTTTATCACTTCTATCTAAACATGTAGATATGGCCATATTATATACAAGTCTCTTGTGCTAGCCTTTATGCCACATGACTACGCCAGTACTACTTGATCGTAAACTGAGACTCATTGACTCAGTTACATCTCCCGTTGCCTACGTATCACGAGATCCTAGCTTCACCACTATGACACAATGCAAAGTATATATGATACTCTTTGCCTGCGACTTCCTGACCCGGATGCTTCACCCAAGCCTATATGACTCTGCCTCAAACTTGTCATGCCTGGTGGTTTGCCGCCCCTGCCAAGGTGTCTATCATAGACCTCGTATCCGTCGTAATCAGACATTTACATGTTATGCTCACCGTCTTCATAACCGAGTGCATAATGCTGCATGGGCACTTCATTCGGACAGTTTTCATCAATAATTGTAGGATACCTTGAACATCTCTCCAGCCTGACGAGAGATCAACACTTCCATTCAAGTAACTTTGAATCCAATTTACGTGCACTTTGGGTGAAGAGTAAAAATTATAGGATTGTAGTATCAGGGGCTTTTTTGTATCAGATTTTAATTGCGTGTGCAGCTACCTAGCTGTGACCCGTTATCAAAGTTGAAGCACATAATAGATGACTCAATATAAAGAAAGAGCACCCATGCCTCGGATTTCATTTGCAAGTACCGCTGCGAAGTTATGCCGGCTATTTCTTCATGCAAAGTCAGGCCTCATCCGTGAATACCCATCCAGGGAAACGTCTGAAAACCCTCGGGTTATCCAGAAATGCATCCATCTGTTATCTTTTCTCCGCGCGAAATGCCGTATAAGCCTTCTCCTTTCCAAGTGGAGTAGGTGCCCAGGCTACTTAACTATACCCGGAAACACCACCAGGAAGCGAAGCACATGATTATGCCCTGCCCTCCATGGTCGGGTGGCAGACAATGTATTGCGAGAAAGTCTAATTCGAACGGAATCATGATCTGATGTAAACAATCTTCTCCTTTATTTTTTATTTTATTTTGTAAAATATTTTCTTGATTTAGTACCAACTGCATAGCATGAGATTCGTTAGACGGGAGACCTTCACGTGTACTCTGATCTTCGAGCGCAGGATGATGAGATCCTGGCTATCATTTACTTTGTTGGATCTGTGTAGGCGCCAACACGTCGGGTAGTTTAATTTAGACTGGCCTAACCGGTACGTGAGGAGCTCACGTGCTGTGCGCGGGCACGACGTTAATTATTGTAAATAAATGAAAAAATTTATTGGAAGAAAAGCCAAGGACCGGTCCTTCGAAGCCAAGCTTAATAATCCTTGACCTGTCAAATGAATTACATTCTGCATCTCAAATTACAGCGAGATCGAGCAATTTCAGATGACAAAGCCAGTCGAAAAGGTGTTCAGGAAAAGGATTAGCGCAGAAAATTCTCAAGGCCCGTGGAGAAGATATTGTTTTGTGATAGGACTGATCACGATAGCCGCTCATACGGGTGAATCCTAAAATAAAGACGTTTATTCTGCTAAACGGTGTTGAAATTGGCGCTACTTGGCAATGGAGAGGCGCATTAATACGGAACGTAATAAGGTTCTATTATTACTAGCCACATTCATGACGACTCATATGTGTGTGTCTGTGTGTTTTATTGTACTACTTGAGTCTATGACTATCTAGCACATTGGGCTCCTCTCTGACCCAGGCCACACCTTGTACAGTGCTCCTATCCTCTTTTGTTACTTGAAAGATCATTGATATATTCCCCTTGATGAATAGCCATTCAGCTCAATATTTACCCGTGGAATTCAGCCACCTTTTCCACGGAACCTTCTACCCAAAAAAAATAAAAATGGTAGCAATGGAAACTGCGTGCGCGGGAAAAAGTCTCAAAAAACCTGCAGCCCCAGCCAGGCGAGGCCTAGACACCGGGACCACATGAGGTGCGCATATTCATCTATGTCTCCCTTCTTTGTAACAGTCGAGGTCGACTTGATCCAATCCACCATCTCCGTATCGGGTGCTGGGTACGCTCCGGAAACTCATCGGATGGCTTTTCCTCCATGATCAAGGGTGGGTGACGAGTAGGGCTCCGACCCTACCATCTGATCTGATCGTGGTTAGCTTCATGATAGTGGTGATAGGGGAATATGTTGAGAGATGAAGACGATACAGACCGCGAAAGCGATTGGGAATCCTCTTCGAAGTGAGGACTTTGTTACTCAATCTCGGCTCTGCAGACTCTACAGTGAGAGCTGGAGGTTCGTAGGGGACACCACTGACAGGTGTTGAGAATAGTCCCCCATGACGACTCATATATTGACCAGCCTCCCAATTATTTAGCAAAAACAATTGAATCGTGTCCTTCACTTAGATGTAGTAATTAATTTAAATAGCGCTCTGATACTAAGTGGGTTTAATAAACAACTCTCCACTATAGTTTTCAGACTCTTCAATCTCCCAACTCGCTCCACTAGGTGATATTAAATACAAGCCTAACAGCTTACGCTTCTCTATACAACTTCCATTCCAACAAACGGAAGAACTACAAGAGCTACAAAATGGATCATCCTCTAGGTCTAACCTAAGTCACTCCCAACTTGACTGACTGGTGAGGTTACGTGAATATTCCCTAAGTGGAATCAGGAAAGTCCGGTTCCAACTCTTCTTTTTTTTTGAATTCATATCGTAGTCAGCTATATTGCTATGACAATCCAACTCTTCAAGAATTGCCGGGAGGCATGAAAAATATAAGATAACCCTTCAAGGTCGTGCGCCTGTCAGAGATTGGCTGATTTAGATGGCACTTCAGTATTAGTGTGCTTCCTAGGGGACAAATAGGAAAACCAAGCACAATTAACTGAAAGGTCTGGGGGAATTTTACAAAGAGGTCCCTGCCATGTGAATATTACAGTTCAAAGACCATTGCATGGGTCCCCAGGGCACTTGATCAGGAAAATAAAATCAAAATCAAATTAACTTTTGTTTATTTTTACTTGATAAAGTACGGCCTCCATCTTCATCTAAGCCTTGTGTAAAACAGTGTCACGGGACTAAGAGCTAGCGCCGTAAACTAGGACATTGGTATAGATCCCTCCTGGTGTTTATCTTCCCTTGCTATTGCCTAACGCAGTTATATTGTTAAACCACCAGAACCTGTTGTAATGTGTGGTCTATGGGGATTACATTAGATTAGAGTGGCAGCTGTGTTGGGTGATATTCAGTGCACGGATTCCTCAATTTTGTACATAGGAAAATTCTTCTCCTCAATAGATCAATATAGTCTTCAATACACAACAATCAGACCACAAGGTTATCACGTCCTGCGCACAATGCTAAATAAGAGCTTCAGCTCATTGACTACCCTAAGCTCACAATCACAACAGAACCTGACCTGTGACCCACTGTGACTCTTTGTGCGATCTTAAATTGTACCCTGTAGCACTTAAATCCAATACTATGAGCAAAATTATCCTCTTGAACCCTGTCTGCGACCCGGCATATAACCCTAAGACATTATGACAGCTGTTAAGTCGAAAGACTCCTGTAGCCTACCCTGGCTAGCGCAGGCTATGACGCAAGGGGAATCTTCGGGAAAGGTCTCGGAAGCCACGGAACTTCGAATATTCTCAGTGAACTTTCTGGAAACAACTTAAGGTTCATGAGGATAACAGGTTTACCGAGAACCTTCTAGGTAGTTGTGGAAAAGTCTCAATAATTCAAGTCACAGGGAGAATCTTCTTGAAGAGCAGTATTGTAGAATGTATATGTATATGTAGTCTTTAGATCGAGGAATTCTCTATCCAGAGAATTATAATTGATATACTGTACTTACAAGTTTTCCCATGAATTTTGTACTGAAACCTTAATAGATATCTCCAGTTATAATTTGATTTCTCTCTTTAGTTTTACCTAAGTATACAATCTCAAGGTAAAAATGTTAAAGCTATGAGCTTGAGCGAAGATGGAGATTGTAGCGGAATCAGTGTCGGCGGTTAGACCGATGCAGTAAGTCTCGTATGAGGTTGTGAGAGGAAGATCCGAGTGGAAACAATTGTATTTAGATGTATGGTTCAGAGTAAAACCGAGGTGATAAGAGTGAGATTGCGTGTTTGCATATCTTATCAACTGTGGTTTTTGACCAGTATTTATCAATCTCAATGG